ATCTTCCATCTCACAGTCACCATAATACAGTATAATCCCCAAAATCAAATCTAGAGTTTTTGTGATTTTCCTGTTACCGAAAGCTTTCGTTTTCATTTTTTTTTTAATGAAATAGGATGGAGCTTCATTGGTAAGAGCACTCGTCTCTAACGAAGCAAGTCCCTTTCGCCAACAAATATGCAAAATCGCTGCCGATGTGCTCTACCTATGGATGTGTAAAGCTATACAGAAAGGCCTCTCCCTCGCCAGAATCAGCAGCCCAGTTCTGGTCCAAGGTGGGGCCTGCAGACAACAGATTAAATCGAACGGCAATGAATACGAAACCGTCCTCAGAGATCGACGGCTTAGAGTTATCTTCTTTAAGCACTTCAACTCCGCCAGGAAAGACCCGTTACTTGTGTTGAGGTTTTTATGGACTTCGCTCGTAATCTTGTTCACGGCATCAGCTGTAGCTTGCCACAGAGTGTTGGCTTCTCTAACCGGAGATTATTTGAACCGTTTGTCGTATAATTCGAACCGAATTGCAACGGCTGCCTGAGGTGCATGCACGCATGGACACACACAGGTTTGAGCTAATTCTTTCATCTTTGCGCTTGTAGTGTTCATTGATGTGAACTGCTTTTGAAAGGAAGAAAAGAAACTGAAAATAAATGTTGAATCTTGTCTTTGCTTCTATGGTGACTTTATTTATACAAGTACAATAGTTGAAAAATATATCGTTTTTTTAATATATTTATTTTATATTTATTTTAGGCATCAGATGTTGGGGAAGACGATGGCACAAGGGATTTAGATGTGACATTGTAAATAACTAAATATATGCATATAAGATATATGAGTTACCTTATTTATATGCTAATTCTTTCTTACATTGTAAATATGCATATAAGCAATAATGCTCACCTACCACGGTGGTCTTTAGCTCACTGGTTAAGATGGGAAGGTAGAGCCCTTACTGCATTAGTCATAGGATTCGCCTTAGGGTTAAGCTTTCCTAAAGTCTGCAAACCATCAAACCATTAATATAGCATGTAAGAACAAGGTTCAAGTCTAACGGTATGTTAGGATGTTTCTTTTTTGTTGAATTGCTTTCGACTAAACGGAAGCCCCTCATGTTAATATGTCCACCGCTTATGTGGCATGCACACATTGGTGATGTATTTTTATAAGCAATAATGTTCACCTACCTACGGTGGGCATATGTTAATATGTCCACCGCTTATGTGACATGCATACATTGTGATATATTTTTTTGAAGATATTAACATCACTAATGTGTGCATGCCACATAAGCGGTGGACATATTAAAATGTGCGCACCGTGAGTAGGGGGCATTACTCTGCATATAAGTTACAGGGAAATGCTACGGTCCCGTTACGGTACCATTCCATCGGGTGTTTTAACCGTTGAATCATCTATCTTATACTAACTACATGTAGATCCAATAGTTAAAACACCCGATGGGATGGTACTGTAACGGTACCATAGCATTTCTCTAAGTTACATCCTTCAATTTTTTCTTACTATTGCAAGTAACCTCAAATTTCCTAAATCAAGATACCATGCATCTATCATTCGGCAAATTTGATCGCGTCAATCATAGATTACCTCCTGCCACCACCCCGATTCTCCAGAAGAAATCCACACCTTAACACCCTTTTGTTTAAGTGTTGAATCTCAGAAAACATATATTTTTTTTATTTTCTTACCTTGGACTTGTCGTTTGCGAGAAGTTAAGTTGAAATTCAGCCATTCATGTTCAAACACAATAGTATCAACTCCCTTACAAGCACGTTGAACTTCTAACTTTAGGATTGTTAGTTGGCATTCAATCAAAAGGGTAGTTGGATGTAAGTATGATTGTTAGTTATATATAGAAGGTTGGTTCCACAATGAAGTCAACTGTGTAAATCAGTATACTTAATGAAAAATCTATTCAGCATAAATTTATTTCCTAAATCTGACTTTCCTTGAGAGCTTTTCATAACAAACCTTGACGAACTTTTCAAAAAAGTCTATTGAGCATAAATATGTTTTAAAAATTATAGCATTTACAAATTATTAATTTGATTTTTTTAATATATATGATTGCATGGTATGAAAATACTATATTTTTTCTTCTCAAGTAAATAATCAGCATAGTAATTAAGTAATTTAACCAATTATTTGTGCATGATATGAGCGGGATAAAAACTTATATCTTGTCAATATCTTGTGTTTGGATGCCACCACGATGGACCCTTAAGCCCATGTTTGTTTTTTAGGTTGAGATTGGACTAAAATTGTAGTAAATAAAGAAGTAAGATTGTAATTAGTGGACTTAGAAAAGGTAAAATAGTCCAAAAATTAAAAAAAACTAGTATTGTGCCCGTGCAAATGCACGGAACATATAAAAAGAAAGTTGGGATTTTAGAAATGAAGCATAAACCATACAAATAAAAATTCTATAGAACATCAGCATGAGAAATAAGTATAAGTCGTACAAATAACTATTCTATATTATTCAATGTTTATTTACATATTTCTATTTATGTGTGTGCTTGTTAAATTTATCATCATAACTAAAATTGTAGTTTGTTTAATTTGTAAAAGTTTATATGCTCGTTTTATCATACATGTATAATATATTCTCCAAGTCCAGTTTAAATGCATCAAATCGTTTGGTGTTTGGAGTCTTGTACACAAAATCCAACCCAACATCCTAAAAAACCGTAACACAAAAAATTAGCACTCTTCATATATAAAATGATAAACCCAAAATTAAAAACACAAAGCACATGAAAAAAATATGAAGTTGGCTCAAAAGACATGAAATATTTATTTATTACGAAAAAATAGAAAACAACAAATGTGGAGGTTTTTTCACTCTCCAACAAAACTGAAGCATACAGTTTTATTAATTAAAATAAATGTTACGGTTTTTCTATTACCTCTAAACTTAACCGTTTAACATTGTTGGAACTTACATCTCACCCCACTAAAGTGACGGTTTTTTCGATAAAACTATCCACTAAGAAACCATACACTTTTATTAAATAAGTTGTAATTCTATATTATAAATTTATAAATAATACTTTTTTATTGCGTGTTTTTTCGATATTAAATAATATGTTGTACTCATCACTTTCATATGATTTTTGCAAGGCCTTCATGTGTGCAGTTGTAATTAAGGGCTTGAAAGACGAATAATTGATTTAATATTTTGTTTCACATAACGAATTTTATATAACTCATTAAAGTTTCTAATAATTACAATAACAATAGAAATTAAAAACAAATGCAATATATTCCTAATAATAAACATTATGTTATGAAACAAAAAAAAATGATATTTAGGAACATGAAAAATATATCTATACAAATTGCAAATATTTTAACAAAATGTGGTTTATAATATTTTTTTAAAGTTACAAAAATAATTTATTAGAGTTTTACTTCAAACTATTAACCATATGGATTAGAAAGGAAAAAAAAAACTATTAAAATGAGCTTTCAAACTATTAACCACGAATATTGAGAAACATAAATAAATAAATAAAGGTATTATTAATTAGGAGAGTGTGTACTTAGTTATAGTTTAAAAATAAAATTAATGAGTTATGTTTCAAATTATTAACCATAAAGATTGGAAAAAATAAATAAATATATATTATTAATTGGGAGAGTACGTACATATAAATTGAATTTAAAAAATAAATAAATACATCATTATTGATGAACACGTGGGACATAACCGGAATTTTATAAATAGAAGGAATAGTTTATGGCCCACTATGAAAACTTACTATTTTTGGAAAGAGTTGTCTCTTTATATAGTAAATAGATGATGGCAGATGAGAAATTTTACTTCCTAGGATTGAGTCTATCCCACCCATTTCCTAGGATTAAGTTATCCCAATACGATGAGATAAACACCTTTTTCATCCCGGGTTGACCGGATAATCTAGAAACTCAATCCAACAAAACAAACAAGGGATAAGATATGTGTTCGTGATTATATCAATATATCCAACTCTATCATATCCCAGCGTCGTCTACATGGCAAGAGAGATTTCAATACCACCAAACTAAGCCTTGAGGGCTAGGAACCAAAAGGAAATTTAAATTGTTTGGAACAGAAATAAACAAAGAAATACATAAATAAATAAAATAGTAGCAATAGACGGTTGTTAATTTGAGCCTAACCACTTGGAATCAAATCAAATAATGATAAGCCATATGTCATTTGATTCTATTCTATCCGTGATGGTAATGCATTTATTGAGTAGAAAATTAAGTGAAAAATATAAACAAAATCATGATGTAAAGTTCGATGTTATATAATTAATCAAAAAATGTAAACAATATCAAAACATCATAATTGTGGTTAGATAAATGTTATATAGATAAAAACGCAACATATCCTGTAAAAAGATGGACTATAGAAGTTACGTATACTAAAATTATTCTAATGTCTGTCTTGCACAAGGATTTTGACGTTCGTCGTTAAGCCTTCACCTTTTTTTTCCGTATAATATCGATCTGGTCAGTTTTGTCATTCAATTATTTTTTATTTTATTTTATTTTTTTTCAGTCAGACCATCGGTTTCAATGACATCTTCGCCAATTTTTATATCGTCCATGTCAAAATCTTCTTTTCAAGTTATATGTTATATGAATAATTACACATTATAAACTAAGCATAAACTTGATTTTTGCCCGAGAGAACATAAGCATGTAATCTAGTATAACATTGAAATCATCCACAAAAATGAATAAATCAAACATGTGATTTTTTTCCCAAGACTACGACATCATTAATATGTGAACGGGCGTTGAGATTCTTGTGTCCATCCCGAACTGTTGCACTGCACCGCCTCAAATGGTCGCCCCGTCATCTAAGAAGTTGAAGATGACGAAGATATCCCCCATAAAGGAGGCGTTCGTAGTCGTGGTCGTCTCTGTGAGTCTGCGGACTGATATTGTACCTCACGACGCAACAGAAGTCCAGACCTCGTCCTCAGTGTAGGGTGTCATGACAAGGTAGGGCCGTGGATGGCGTGAGATAGGCACTTAAGATTCTTGAAAGTCGAGTTGAGGATGGGGAGAAAGTCACTTTAAGGTTCTCAGCAATCGAGATGAGTGATCAAAAGGGGCTTTCCTCCAGCAAACATGCACCACACACAGAGAGTATATATATATAATGGAGAAAATTGGAGATGACATGAGGCGCAAAAAGTTTTCTTGAAAGAGATGATGTAAAGTTTTTGAGAAGTTGCAAAACTAAAATCTCATTAAATTAAGACAATTATCAATTCCATACAACTTCTTCAATAATTATCTTTAAAAAAGGTAAGTAAAGAATTGTGCATAGTATGCAAATATGCGTGTCAGATTTTATATGTGCAAATAAAATATAATGTTAATATATATAGAATATTTTATAGTTTAATTAATTTGGTGGTAATTTTCTCTATAAAAAAAAAAAAAAAAAAAAAAAAAAAAAAAAAAAAACCTACATTCACCTAGGGCTTGTTTTGGGTTTATAAGTTTATTGCC